CCTTAAATTACATTACAGCTCGCCGTTACAGGACCGTACATAAACCAAGGGATATGAATTCCAACAGTCAAGAAACTTATCTCTTAAACTCAGGACATCGGGAATAAAATTAATAAATGATAACTCAAACATACTGATGGGGAAACGAAAATTAATGAAACCCGGGAAGTGCGTCGTGATGACGGTGTTAAATCACAAATCTTGGGAAACGTGAGCCCAAATAATACTTGTGCAGTCTTCTTTGGTTCTTTCGGTAAAGTCACGTAGAATGAGAAAAAAATAATAAATTGATAAAATAACACAATAAAATTATCACGACGTTTTGGCCACAACACAAGCGGCCTTCATCAGGTGAAGGGACGAGACTGTCTGGAGGACAGCGCTGGAGCGAAAAAGCCACGCTCAGATCGCGACCTTTAAGCTGTGTGAGAAGAAACAAAGTGCCTTGACAAAGGAATTAGCATAGAATTTAGCATTGAAATAGCTGAGTGATTAGCTTGTGGCTGGTCACAGAAATGGCTTTGTTAAAGTTAAAGCATACACATCCGCAGAGGCACCCCTTGACAAAGGAATTAGAATAGAATTTAGCAATGAAATAGCTGAGTGATTAGCTTGTGACTGGTCACAGAAATAGCTATGTTAAAGTCAGAGCATACACATTCACAGAGACACCTAGTACAAATCAAACAGGAGAATTTAGCATTGAAATAACTAGAAGAATTTAGCATTGAAATAACTGAGTGATTAGCTTGTGACTGGTCACAGAAATGGCTATGTTGGAGTCAAAGCCTACACATCTGAGCTATTCACAGTAACTGGGTATACACTACAATATATAATGAATACTATATAGTGAACAAATAAAAAACTAAAATATAAATTACCTCAATGTTATCAATAAACTCTATATATTCTCCAATCAGCTAAGCTACCAACAATAAGTCGTTATATATCACAATGCTATATGGCGAAAAAATGGGTGGATTCTTACCCTCAACTTTAGCAACACGGATAGCTACGGGCCCTGTTCAGACGGACGAGTTCATCCATGGTCGGAACAGAGGAGGGGGAGAGAGACAGCTGCGAGGCGCTGTTATACTCCATGTTGTAAACCATACCATTAACCGTGGTGTGAGAGGTATTAAGAGTCAATGCCAGCGAAAGAGCTGCGTCTGAAGGTCATCGTAGTGTTAAACCAAGGGCCAGCCAGAGAGAAAGAGCCTCCCGGCCGTCTTTGTCTTCCCGCAGCACGAGAAAGGAATGTAACGCCAGAGCGAGGGAAACTACTCTTTATCGCAGGGGCCATCTGTGCCCATGGATGTGTGATGACTTAACAACACACGGACACGCACACAGACGGACCACACCCCCCCCACCACAACGCAGCGAGATCAAAAGGAGGAAGGGGGCGGGAAGGAATTCCTCAGGGCCTGGTAGCTTCCAGGGAGCGAAACCGGGCAGACGAGTTTTAGTTAAAGGAAAATTACAATCCACAGTGTCACACATACCATTAATGCTAACGTTATTTACCATAAACTATATTTCATTTACATGACCTTACAAAACCAAGGGATATGAATTTCAACAGTCAAGAAACTTACCTCTTAAACTCAAGACATCGGGAATAAAATAAATGATAACTCAAGCATACAGACGGGGAGACGAAAATTAATGAAACCCGGGAAATGCGTCGTGATGACGGTGTTAAATCACAAATCTTGGGAAACGTGAGCCCAAATAATATTTGTGCGATGATAAACCATCTGAGTCTTTTTGATGGTTTTTATGGCTTGAAGAAGGCGACGAACAGAACCATGCAATAAATGACACAACAACAACAACAACCGCCATTCGCCACTAAGTGGCGGTGACGTCACCACGACGCTTGTGCCAGGCCATGTGCACCTTGAAGCCACGTAGAGCGTCGAACGCCCGCTGGCAGGAGGTCACGGGGCAGACCCAGGTGCCACGGGTCGACTGACTGAGATGACTAGCTGATGCACCACCTGTGCCCCCTACTCTGCCAACCTGCTGTGCTTTAGCCACCCGGCGCTCCGCTCGTTGTTGTGAGCGTCGCTCCTCCGCCCTCCGTTGTTGTTGGAGGGCGACTGCCTCCAACTGCCCAGTAGCAGCGTCCTTCACGAGCCTCCTCCACAGAGGCCGATCTTGACACTGCTGGTACCAGTCATTGGCAAGTCCACTCAGCTCCACGTCCTCCTGTACCACATCACTCCATCTCTTCTCTAGCCTGTGCCGCGCCCGTTTAGCCCCCTCGATCCGGCCGAACAAAAGCTGTTTCGGCATGCGGTGGCTGGGCATGCGGGCTACATGACCCAGCCAACGCAGCCTTGCCTGCCGGAGGAGTTCACCGACGGGACCATGCCCAGATCTTTCAAGGATTTGTGAGCTCCTCACACAATCCAGCCTGGTTAAACCCAGGATGGATCGTAGGCAGGCCAGTCTAAATGTTTAAAAACCGGCGAAGATGTTCCATTAGGGGGGGCCACGTTTCGCAAGCGTAGAAAAGGGAGGGAATGACCGTGGCCGAGAAGACCGGAAGCTTAGTGCGGAGCGACAGACCAGGTAGCTTCCACACAGCGTTACGCAACCAATGAAAAGATATTGCCGCTCGACTGATTCGGAGTGAAACCTCTGCTGTTAAACTGGAGCCGGTCATAAGCACACTGCCCAGGTATGGGAAACTCTCCACTCTCTCCACAACTGCCCCATCACCGATTTGGAGTTGTGGGGGTGGAGTGTCTGCAAACCTGGTGACCAACTACAAGAAACGTCTGACCTCTGTGATTGCTAACAAGGGTTTTGCCACTAAGTACTAAGTCATGTTTTGCAGAGGGGTTAAATACTTATTTCCCTCATTAAAATGCAAATAGATTTATAACATTTTTGACATGCGTTTTTCAGGATTTTGTTGTTGTTATTCTGTCTCTCACTGTTCAAATAAACCTGCCATTAAAATTATAAACTGTTCATTTCTTTTTTTTATTTAAAGCTTTCGTGACTGCAGTAATTCATATTCGTAGCACTTTCGGTAAAGTGACTTTACCGAAAGAGCTAAGAATATGATCATTTCTTCATCAGTGGGCAAACGTACAAAATCAGCAGGGGATCAAATACTTTTTTCCCTCACTGTACATAGTAGGAGTCACCAAAAATAATTCCAAAATCATGAGCAAACACAAGATCCTGGTTCGATTTAACACTGCACATACAATTCGTGATCTGATGTCCATCTGTGAAGGATGTGATCCCTGACATGCAATACCCCGGCATCTACAAACTAAAACTGTGTTTGCGGCAGTAGTTACATTGGGGAAACTAAGCAACATGTCTTGGATCGTGTTCGTGAACATAAGGCAGATATGAAACACGGGAGGACCAATACCTCGGCCGTGCCTGATCATTGCTTTAATGCGGTGGGCTTACACGAAATTGATTGATCCAAGATGAAGATACTTTGCAAACCCACTGGCTTTCAACAAAGATTCGATAATTAAGCCCATGACCCTGGTTGCCGCTGATACACTTGAGCCACGCCCATCCCCAAACCTTTATAAATAATTTGACTTCAGAGGCTAACTCCTTTGCCTGATGACGATCGCTTGTGTTGCAATCTGAAACGTAGTAGTTTTTTGTTATTTTCTTTGAACTTATCTACGTGACTTTATTGAAAGACCCAAATAATATCTTAACACCTGTTTTATTGCAAAAAAGGGCAAAACCTATTTTTATAATGGTATCATGGTTTTCACATTGGACTTAAACAATAAACTATTTTTAGTTTATCAGGTAAGGCCCACTGAGTTATATAAGCTCTTTTTCAAAAGCGACATGGCCACAAATGATAGCTCAACGAAGTGGCTTATCATGTGGAAATTTATAGCAGCCAAATACTCTTGTTTCATGTTTTTAAATGTGGAGGGAAAAATACACGTGACCCCGAGGAGAATATGCAAACTTCAAATAAACATGGTTCAGGATCGAATCCACAACCTCCTGTATACCAGGCGAGGCAGTTAACATCTCGCCACTGTGGTGCCCAGAGATCGCCAGTTTGATCAGCTGGCACGATAGTAGAGGCAATCGGGCAAGTTTCTTAAATCCCACCGCCTCTGCCCAGGCAACAATAAATATGGCTGCACCACAATCAGTTGATCGGCACGTCATGTGCAGTGGGGTAAAGTGTGGCTACTCCAATCTCTTCCAAGATGTCTAACCATCATGGAAGAGTAGGCCGAGAACAGTTGTTCCAGCAGTGGCATGAGAATGTAATTGAAGGACCTTTGCCACCACTGGTTTCTACGATGGCTCCAAAGATCAACGCTGTATGGAGTCTTCAAAGAAGGCTGATAACCTATTATTCATTTTATTATTAATTGTAACAAGACTACTACTGGGAATTGTACATGGGCAGGGGTTTTGTGTCCTGTGCTGCTGTCCAGTCGACGCACACTACCGAGATGTGGGATATTGTGTACAACTTCAGAGGACAGTGCAAAAGTGACGAGGCAATTGTCCACCACACACATATACGGAGAGACCACAATGAAGGCCACTGTGTTTTAGCATTCATATGTTCATGTATGTTGAACTTCTTCGACACTGTACATAGCCAACCATTCTAATCAAAGGTGTGTGTGTTGCACATGTATTTTGCAAGGGATAACCCAGGGAGGGCACATCTGGGTAACGTCTGCAAAGTGTGGCTCCAAGGCAGGTAGATGGAATAGGTTGATACATTTTAATTCAAGTCAGTCAAGTAGGGGATCGATAGTTTAGGCCGGGAATTTTTGCTCCGTTTGTTTACCAACCAATTCAACTTCGCAGTTGAATGAGACAAATTACATTGCAGCTGTGGGTGTAGCTCTCAGAAACGCTGTTCCATATAACAACGCTCAAAGTAGCCGGTCAATGTGGTGCTTTGTTCCCAAACTCCACAGGTGATGTCACATTGCAAGTGGACATGCACGTGACTGCCTTACCTGTCTGTGTCGCCGTACACAACCCGCGCTCCCCATTCCTTTGTCTCGTTCACTTGCTTGATTGCTCGTTCCAGTGTCTCCCTGGCTTTGTGCACAATACTATCGCCCACCTGCTCCCAGAGAACAAATAACTCGATAAAAAACTTCAGTTAAACTGGAATAAAACTCAATGCTGAACACCAATATACCTGTTATGCATCAGTGTATATTATTACCGTGCTTGTTTGCTCAGAAATGCCTCACTTCATCTGAAGACCTTTTTCAGCAGTGCTACCAAGTTTCTGAGCAATTTTTCAGCATTGGGATGTTTGGCCAATACTAGTTACATTGCATCTGTTTTTTTTACTATTGGAGAGAAAATGGAGAATCCAGAGGAAAGCCATGCAGAACAGCAGTAAAACGCACGTTCTCCACGCAAAAAGGCACTCAAGTCAGGAATTGAACCCAGGACCCTGTTGCTGCGAAGCACCCAGTCGCCCCACGTGGTGTGTAATTTCTCCAGCACGCCGAACTGTACCTCAACGCAGGGCATTCTCCCGGAGAAGTGGGCGGCGGTGTAGCCAAACGTGACATTAGCGATTAGCTTGAGCCCGAGCTGCCGCGCGTGCAGCAGCCGCGTGAGCGCCCCGTCTCCGCGGTAGTCCTTCATGCAGTGCTTGACCATGATGCGCGTCTGCAGGATCTCCTCCAGCATGCGGGGCAGCACGCCCTTCCTCACGGACGCCTGCACCGCAGCCCCACAGGGCACATTACCAGCATCCGCCTTTCTCATGCGCTTGTACCATAAAGCTCGAATATCATGAAACGTGCAAACTGCAGGATCCTGATTCATCACTGATGTTTGGGTTTGGCCACATAAATATTTGACCAAACCTGTCATTATGAATCCTATTATTATTCCACCATCTGAAACAGTCACATAATAATAACTGATAATTATAATAACTACAGGGTGCTTAAAAAAACTGGGAATTTTTGTTTCTTTCCCTTGCAGTTTACTGAAATGGCAACGAGATTGACTTTGGAGCAAAGAAGAAAGGTTGCTGCATGGATGGACGTCTTTCAGTCACCCATGGTGATTCACAACAAATACAGAGAGCATTTAATCTGCGATCCACCCTCAAGATTGACCATTTATAGTGTTTACAACAGGTTCGTCAAAACCGGCGCAGTTGCTGATAATTACCAAGGGAATGGCAGTCGACAATGAACAGGCCGATCCCCTGCAAACATAGCTGTTACACAAGAAGCTTTCTTGCGTCGCCCAGGGAAATCAACTAGACAATGCAGCATAGAATGTGGTCTTCCCCGGGCAACGATGTGGAGAATCTTGAACGAGGACCTGGGAATGCAGCCATATCTTTTGCAGACTGTGCAAGCCTTATGTCCTGCAGATAAAGCCGTTCGTGTTGAGGCTTTCAAAATATTCTTAAGAGATGAAGAATTTGGAACCTGACATTCACAGGCTAGTGGCATTCATCGACCAGGCAACCTTTCACATGAGCGGACATGTGAACAAACACGACTGTGTCTTCTGGAGTACTCAGAATCCTTGTGTTGTGTGTGAGGATGAACGAGACAGTCCCAAGGTGAATGTCTGGTGTGCAGTCACTGGAACAGGAGTGGTAGGGACGTATTTTTTTTGGAAATATCACACTCAACGGTCGTGACTTGTTTTGCATGTTTAACCACAGGTATGATGTGTGGTTAATGCAGATCCGACGCCTTGTAATAGGTGTCCATTTGGTGTTTGAACATCTTAACACTTCCTGCATTATTATTATTATTGATGTTTCTAACAAAAACTCGCCTACAGATAGACATTGAACAAGAAACAGTCACATGTTGGCCGTCGTGCTAATGTGAAAGTAAGATATACAGTACTCTTTGGGTCTATCGGTAAGGTCACGTAGATTAAAAAAATATAATAAAATAATAATAAAAATCACGACGTTTCGATCGCAACACAACAAAATAATCGTCTTCAGGGGAAACAAATACAACGGGTGGACTTGCTGAGGCAGGAAGAAATATAGCGAGAGAGCTACTGCAGCCAAAGGTTCTATAGCTTTGAGATAGGTACAACCCAAGGGTAAGTGGGCTGGGCTAGAGATGGCATTTGCAAGTAAATGTAAGATCGCAGAGCTATAGGTAAAGCTCGGCCATTGTGTTGCTAGAGATTAGCATCTCAATCTGTTTTTTGGGGTTTTGGCCATGTTTTTGTTTATAGTATACGGAGTTAGACTGATGTCCTTAATCTTAGTTGTCTTGTGGTTGTTGTTGTTGTTGTAATTTTGACTTGCATCCCACTGGGATTTTTTGCACACAGCGTTGGTGTATGGTGCTATTTCAGGAATATTTTTGATGTTTTTTTCCTGGATTTTCTGTTTGCACAGTCACACATAGTCACTTTAAGATGTTTTTCTTGTTCATGTTTTTTGTTTGTTGCGGTTGCACCCGATTCAAGAGCCGAATGGCTCACAGGGCTATACCAAATAAATGAACTATGAACTATGAACATGATGGAGAATTACGCAGAGGACAACCTGCAAACTACAAATTCGGTTTACCGGATACTTTCATTTGGATGGTGCTCCACCCCACTTTGCTTGAAATGTTCACGCTCATCTTCACATAAAATTTGAGCGGAGATGGAATGGCAGAGGAGGGCCTGTGAAATGGCCAGCACATTTGCCAGATCTCACTCATTGTGATTTCTGGCTGTGGGGTATGGTAAAGGAATGTGTTTATGCTACCAAGCCACATGATGTGCGAGACCGCCGACAGAAAATTTAAAATGTGATTGCAACAATATCACAATAAATGTGCCTCCAGGCTCTGGAGGCCACCTGGAGAAGATTTCAGGCAAGTGTTGACAATGATGGCAAACAAGTGGAGCCTCTTTAACTTTTTGAAGCTACAGTGCGTGTGTGGAGACAGTGCGGGTGCAGGGACAGTGTGTGGCCTAGTGGTCACGAGGGGTAATTACAAGGGTGGACATTAATAGAGGGCGAGTTGTGAGAAAGGGTGCGTGGCCGGGGGCGGAGTGAGGGGCACCCTGAGAATAAAAGGAGGCGAGAGGCAAAGTTCGAGGCTGCCGTGAGATCAGGGTCAACTGTCTTCACGCCGACGCTGTCTTCGCATCGCCATTTTCCATGCGGCGGAGCCTGTGCGATCGCCGGCCACCACTTTCCACGTGGCGGAACCCGCGTGATTGTCGGCCGCCACTTTCCACGCAGCAGAGCCCGGGCGATCGACGGCTGCCATCGTCCACGCGGCAGAACCCGTTTGATCGCCGGCCGCCATTTCCCCCACGGGGGAGGGAGCGTGATCGACGGCCGCCATTTCGCCACCGACCCAGGTGGCTGCGGAGTCGACTCCGTACCCGTCACGTCTCCCACTGCCACAGCAGACCGGCCAAGGCTGGTCTGCTGTGGCAGTGGGAGATGATTGGACAGCCTTCATCTGCAGATTTGAAGCAGCATACCTGTTCGTCGCATGGACAGAAGACGAAGCTCTGCGGGGCTTGCCGATGGCTCTCGATGACGATGCTCTCGCAGCGTTCCGAGCCATCCTAGCGGAAAAGCAGGCCACTCTTCGACAGGTGTACGGAGAGATGGCGGCCGTCTTTGGTCCTCCAGTCAAAGCGCCGAGGAAGTTCCTGCAGTGGAGGCGAGGGAAGGCCGAGATGCCCCTCGCTTACCGCAGTGCACTGATGGCGCTTGGGCAGGCGGCGTACCCGCGAATAGATCAAGTGGCAATAGACTCCCTGACGAAAAAGTTGTTGGTGTTAGCACAGGAGATAGGGATCGTGCTGCCCATCATCGAGGAGGTGGGTGGCCAGATGTCTGCAAGCCCACGAGAACATGAACAGGTGGACCCAGGTTGTGGCCTGGTCAGGTGAGCCCGTGTCGGGCGACACTTTGACTGCCCAATCAACAAAGAGCGCCATAAGGCCGGCGGAGGAGGATCCGGAGCTGGGGAAGGAGATGGCGGCGGCGGCGACGGCGCAAGGGTGGCCTTGACGGCGAGGGGACACCTCGCGACGGCCTCGAGGTTGGGGTCCGAGGGGAGAGGCGACCCCTCCACCGCACGGACCCTCTATCTCCTGCTTCCGGTGTGGACAGCTGCGACACATCGTGCGAGGATGCCTGGACGATGCCCGGCCATCGACAACTTCATCGACATCCCCCGTCCCACCGGCCACCGCTTCCCAGCCCCAACAGGCAAGTCGTGACACACCGGACACTCGGGCCCAAACCACCACCACCTCACGCATCTAGGCCTTCATGCATTCCTTCCGTCATTTTCAGATAGAGGCATGCGTAAGAGTGGGTGAATTGAAATGTCGGGGCCCGTATTGACTTTAAAGACGCTGGTGGTGCCTTGGCTCTTGGGGACTGATTTTCTTAGCAGGATGCCTCAATTTTTTTTACGGATCAAGGATGTATCGAGATGCCGTCTGGACAACGATTGTTCTTTTCGGATTCCCCGTATAAAAACACTGTGGCGAATGTTAAAGTTCAGTCCTTGGCAAGGAAATCTAAAGAGATTCCGCTAGGCACGCAAATGTTAGCCCTCGCGCTACTGCAAATGCCTTTAAGTGGCTGACCCCAAGGCAGGAGTGCTCCTTGTACCATCTAACACAGCGACCCGTGGGCTTACGCTGATGGGGCGCAGACAATCCTTCAGGTGAATCAGGAACCATTTTTGCAGGTCCTGAATGTAGGTCTGGGGACAACTGTGATATACTGAGTCAAGTTAAATTTGATATTCGGCGTACTTCCTTGCTGCAACACCACATCGATACGGGCGATGCAGCTCCTATTCGGCAGAACTCGGTTGAGTCCTGTCGAAAAGGAACATGTATAGCAGGTGTTGGAGGAAATCTTGGCAGAGGAATATAATTTCACCATCAACCAGCCCTTGGGGGGCCCCTGTGGTGTCGGTCAAAAAACAGGATGGAATTTTAAGGTTTTGCGTTGACTTTTGTAAATTAAACAAAGTCTCAGTGGCAGATGTTTACCCGCTTCCACGTATGGACGATTCTCTGGACGAGTTAGAGCGCGCTCGGTTCTTCTCCACACTTGATCAATTGTTGGGGTTTTGGCAACTTCCCCTGGATGAGTCATCTAAACCGAAAACAGCGTTCCGAACGCCTCAGGGACTGTTCCAATTTAATTGTCTCCTGATCGGATTGCATTCGGCACCTGCCACTTTCCAGCGACTTATGGAGTTGGTCCTGGCGGGACTGCAGTGGGACTCCTGCCTCATTTACTTAGATGACATCATCGTGTTTGGCCGCACATTCAAGGAGCATTTGCAGAGGTTGCGGGCAGTGTTCTCCAGTGTACGGTCGGTTAAACTCAAATTAAAATCCACTAAATGCCATTTGCTACAAACCTCAGTGCGATATTTGGGCCATATTGCTAATGCAAAAGGAACAGCTACGAAACCGAACAAAATGGCGTGCGCACGCGATTGGCCAACCCCCAAGTCGGTGGGTGAAGTGTGCAGTTTCGTCGGATTTGCGTTGTATTACCGAAGGTTCATTTCGCAGTTCACAATGATTGCAAAACCTTTGCATTCTGTGACGGCTAAAAGCCATAAGTTTAAATGGGACAAAAGGAGGCCGCGTTCATGGCACTGCAAGAACACCTTTCTAACGTGCCTCCTCTCGACTATCCGGAGTTTTCCCTGCCGTTCATACTAGACACTGATGCT